CCGGTGCACGCGGGGTTGGAACAGGGAAGTGATTCCATTCACCGCCGGTTTGGGGCTAAAAAGGGTCATTTTGGTTAAAAGCCAAAGGATTTACCCCGTGTCCGGCCACTAAATCCCAACTCGCAGCCATAGTTTTTGGGGTGAATCCTTTGGGAAACGGGTGTGGAGCAACAGCTACAAATTCTGCTGGGAAAAGGGGTTTTTGGGGGCAAACCAAACAATTTGCTATGACCAGAATGAATCCCGGCCCCATTCCCGGCGGGAATCCTGGAAAACGAGCAATAGACGCAACTTGTGAAGGGAGGGCAGAAACCAACACATTTTCCAAGGGGAAAACAATTCCCTTTTTGGGGAATAAGCCAACTAAAAGCTCTCAAACCCGGCAGATTTAGGGGGATAAGGTGCCGGCTCTGGCCCACAGCCACATTCCAGACCCAAGGAGCCGCCGGGATCCAATCGATGCTTTTATTCATTTGCCAAACCTCAGCTTTGTTTTTCCTCTTCCTCTCTAAAATTCCCCCCAAACTCCCGGGTTTCTTGGGGCTGGATCCTGCGTTTTCCCTCCTAAATCACCACCACAAAAGAAAAAGATCTGCAGGAAGGAAGCGGAAAGAATCGCTACCGGGATGAAGGAAGCTCAAGGCTGCGGCTGGGCCCTTCCCCTTTAATTAACCCCCCCAATTAATCAAACTCTAATTAATCATCCTCATCATCCACCCAGAATCGCAGCTTCTACCGTCACCTTCACACACATTCACAGTTACTCCGGTTGTGGCTCCGTGGCTGCTGGTGGAGCCTCTTCTTCCTCCTCCTCCTCTTCCTCCTCACTCCCACCGGCCGCCTCCTCGCTCCCGTGTTCCTCCTCTTCCTCCTCCTCTTTTCCTGCCCAACCCTCAGTCTCATTTTGGGGAGAAACCACCGATTCTGGGGGCTTTTCAGGAGCTGCTGGGGGCTCTTCCGGCGCTTCCGAGCGCTTCCGAAGGCGCTGCCGCCGCGTCCGACGTCACCTCCTCTGCTTCCAGCTCGTCGTCTTGAAGGAACGGGGGCATCAGGAGTGGTTTGGAGGGTTGATCCTGCTCCCCCAGATTCTTAAGGAATTCCTCAGCTTTGGAAAACTCTTGGGAAGGTTCGGCTGCTTCTGTCGCTTCCCCGCTTCCTCCTTCCCCTTCCTGGGAGACCTCGGTGGTGCTGGTGGTGGTGGCAGGCCGCGGGTCGCTCCTTCCCCGGCGCCGTCTCCACCTTCCATAGCTTCATCCACGTCTTGATCCGTGATTTCATCTGTAAAGGGATCTTCTCCCTGCGGAAAAAGAGATGGGAGAGAGACAAGGAGTCATGGAGCAACGGGAATCTCTGCCGTGAACACACGGGAAGAGTGTTATGGCAAGTGGAAATCAGCTTGGCGACGGCCCGCTCTTGCAATGGTGGAAACAGTAATTAAATAGATATCCATCATGGAAAATCCCAAAGGATTTGCAGGGAAAACAAATGATCCCACACCTGGAAGGAGTGGAAAAGAGCCAGTGAAATATTAAAGGTCCCACACGGTGCTGCGGGCACCGGGGACGGACCCTGCGCTACGGCTCCGCTCCTCATCCAGGAGGAATTTGGGATCTAAGCGAAGACGATTCAAATCCAAAGGGAATTCCTCAACCCCGTGGCCCCGGCTCGGAGCTGCTGCCGGGCGGACTCCCCTTCCCTCGGTGGGAATTGCAGCGGTGCCTCCAGGTTTCCATCCCGCCTTTTAGTGTGTCGGGAGAGACGGAGGGATCCAGATGCGACGCGACCTCACAGCCCTCGCGGGGCGTTTCGGGGACACCAAAACCCTCCAGATTTGGGGATTTTGGGGCTTTTTGGGTTCGTTTTGTTGGATTTTGGGTTGGAATTTTCACCTCGTTACCTTTATGGAAGCCGACAGCGGATCCCAGCCCCGCTCCCTGCGGACATCAGGGGGCTCTGCTCACATTCCCAGAGGTGGAGATCAGAGGAGGGATGTTGCTGCTCTATAAGCATGACCTTGCCAGAGAGGAGCTGCCCCAGACAACACCCGGGCTGCAAATCCGAGGGCAAATTCCTGAAATTCCCTATTTTTGCTTTGGCTCCCCCCCTCACAGGGGAAACACAAGCCTCGCCTGTGACCAGATCGACCGCCGTGGGGCAGGGAGAGGGCTTCTTTTTCCAGATAGGAGGAAAAACCTCTCTGGATCCTTCCTCCTTTCCCCCTCCCGCAACCCCACCCTGGGGTTAAGATCCGCCTGGATCACATTCAGCCCAGGCTGGCTGCCTCCACGCGAGAAGATCCATGCAGATGGAGGAGAAACCTCAACGTTCATCTTCCCTGGCTGAGGAATGTGCTGAGCCCTATGGAGGTGACGGGGAGAACTATGGAGAGGGGGGCAAAAATCAACCCTCAACCTCGCGATCTGGACCCCAACGTCCGTTATCGCCGGTCAAATCTACCGGGAAGGGGATGTGTGAAGTCCACTCGTGGTGGAGACTCTCCCGGCTTCCCATGGGAAGGGCGAGGTGTCCCGCCATCCCGGAGGAGGAGGAGGAGGAGGAGGAGGAATCTTTAGGCCGATGGTCAAGAACTCATCTCTTGATGCGGCCCCAAGTCTTGAGTTTAAGTCTCGCCCCTGAGGCTCCGGCCTGGGCGGGAGCTGTGCCGAGAACGTGGGGTTGGTTTATGGCGAGGCGGCTCTTGGCATTACCTGGAATCCTCAGATTTTCCTCCACCCCTTTTCAGCCTGGTTTTGCACCTGGGAATGATACGGAGACCGTGCTGGGATGGCTCCGAAGATCTCCTCCTGCCGCTGGCCAAAGGTCAGGAGCCCGGGATTCATTTAGATCTGCCGGCAGCCTTTGATACCGTTGATCATGAGATGTGGCCGTGCCTGCGGACCCTGGCAGGGGTAGATGGAGTTGCACTTGAGTGGTTCCAGTTTTGGGGGGGAGAAGGGGGTTAATTTAACTTAATTTCTCTGGTTTTTGGCGGTTTTTAAAGTTCTTGGAGACATCCTGGAGGTTTGCACCTCCTGAGGGTACCGCAGGGGTTTTACCTCACCCTCCTGGTCAACAGGTATGAGAGGCCGCGCTAGGGCCAAGCCGGCCCGTCCTGGGACAAGCTCCCAGCTCAGAGTCTCTTTGTACTGGACCCAGTGGGTGGAGTCGCAGTTTTTAGTGGGTTTAACGGGTACTTTTACTGCTTTGGGCTGTATTTTAGCAGAGGTGGGAGCTGGGACAGACCACAACTTACCCCCCCGGCGCCGGGGGGACAGGGGAAGCATCTGCTGCCCCATGGCGGCTCTGTGGGCAGCTGCCTGCCCTCGTCTGCCAGGCTGCAAACGAGGGGTTGTCCCGCCGGATCCTGGGCTGTTCCCGGATTCCCAGGGAACCAGCAAGTAGCCACAAGTGCTTCTTTTCATCTTCGCCCAGCCGAGGAGGTTGCGACCTTTCCTCTCTCTCGGATGCGGGCCTCGGCCCGTTAAACCCGCGCTTTAGGCCGGGAATAACCACCTGGCATTCCCACATGGAGCGGGGTTAACCCCCATGCTCTGAAGACTGCGTTTGCCTTCCAGGCTTCCTTCTGGAATTCCGAACGCTGGTTGGGGCTTAAGCAAACCCTCCCCTGCCCTCTCCTCGTGCTCCGTCTCGGCTCTGCAGGTCAGCTGGGGTGTTCTCTGCCACTTCCCAAGGGAAGAGGAAGGGGGGGGGAAATAAAATGTGGGGGGGCTAATGAGAGTGTTTCAACTCACGGGAATGGGGTGCACCCACCCCGGGGTGCTTTGTCCCTTGGAGCTGCTGGGAGCACTGCCGAGCCCGGCTCTTTACACAGGGTATAAACTCCCCCTCCCAGTGCAGTGGATGGAGCAGGAGCCATCCGCGTTGGATTCAATCCCAGCGGGAGTCAAGGGGTGGCTTCCCGACCAGCACGCTTGCTGGGGGGAGCCTGGTGTGTGTCCCCCCTTCCAAAGGCCACAGCTCGAGGGGTGGCTTTGGGGGAACTGGAATTCCTTTGGCTACTTTGGTTTCTTTAATTACGGTCTCGGTTTGGATGGATTCAGGATTGAGCTACAGGTGCCTGGGAATGATGGCTGGTACATCTGCGGGTTCAATACATGAACACAAAGCAAACCAAAAAGCATGAGAAGTGTAAAACCACCTACGGAGAGAAGAAACCAGACCTAGGATTGAGAGAGCAAAAGGCAGCAGAGAAGAACCTACGTTCATCCCCATCGGATGCAGCCAGACGTCCCGTCACCGACCCGCAGCTCCGCGCTGCTCCGGGAACTCGGCACCAGGTGCCAACTTCCTGCTCCACTCACCTTGAGGTATTTTTCCAGCATCTTTACGATGTGTTTGTTATTCAGGACGCTCTTGGCCACGTGTAAACTGGTTTTCTTGAACTGCTCTGCAGCCATCTGGGAAAGAAAGAAACCTCTGTTTAAAAGGGGAAGGCTGCGAACGAGGAGCTCGGCTCCACGGCTTGTTTTCCTGCCTGGGAAATTGATCTGAAATCCCAGAAAACATCCCAAAAAGCGGATGTGAGGGAGCACCCGCCTCTCTTCCACTAACGTGAGCCCTGCAGAAAGAGGTGCTGCAGCAGCAGCAGCTGAAACATCCCCCAGGTATCCCAAGAGTAAATCCCCAACATGTCAAACACCCAAAGCCAGAGATGAAGCTCTCCCCATCTCCAGCCTGGCCCCACTTAGACATCGATTACGTCTCATTTACGAGTTCCTCAAGTGCCCTCAAAGGCAGGTTTTGGTTTCGTCTACTTATGAGCACCGCAGACTGAGAAGGAGGAAACGAGTGGTGTCCCTCAAGGACACTGAGCTGTGTGGTGCAGTTGATATGCTGGAGGGAAGGGATGGGATCCAGAGGGACCCTGACACGCCTGGGAGGTGGGCAGGTGCCAACCCCATGAAGTTCAACCAAGCCAAGTGCAAGGTCCTCCGCCGGGGGTGGGGCAATCCCAGGCACAGCTACAGGCTGGGTAGAGAAGTGATTCCGAGCAGCCTGAGGAGAAGGACTTGGGGTGTTGGTCCATGAGAAACTGAACATGAGCCAGGTTCAGTGTGTGCCTGAGCCCAGAAACCACCCGTGTCCTGGGCTGCATCAAAAGGAGCGTGAGCAGCAGGTCGAAGGAGGGGATCCTGCCCCTGTGCTCTGGCAAGACCCCACTTGCAGCACTGGGTGCAGTTCTGGTGTCCTCAACACAAGGAGGACATGGAGCTGTTGGAGCAAGGCCAGAGGAGGCCACGAGGATGAGCAGGGGCTGCAGCAGCTCCCGTATGGAGACAGGCTGAGAACATTGGCGCTGGAGAAGAGAAGCTGCGTGGAGACCTCAGAGCAGCTTCCAGGGTCTGAAGGGGGCTACAAGGATGCTGGAGAGAGACTCTTCATGAGGGACTGTAGTGGTAGGGCAAGGGGTGATGGGTTCAAACTGGAACAGGGGAAGTTTAGGTCAGATGTAAGGAAGAAGTTCTTTACTGTGAGGGTGCTGAGGCCCTGGAATGGGTTGGCCCAAGGAAGTTGGGAATGCTCCAACCACAAACCAAGCTCGAGTGCCCGGACCAACGCTCTGGTTCGGAGGCGAAGGTGGCGCTTACCCTGCGGTTCCTGTTGTGATCAGCAGATCTCAGGTGCCTCTGGAGAAGGTGGTTCTGTGCAGGAATTAACATGTCACAGGCCATGCAGTGAGCTGCCTCGATCTTCTTGAAGAAGTGCTCCTGCCCAATGCCTACAGAGACAAAAGACATCAGCCAGAAGCCAAGCCAAGTGACATGTTCAGCTGGTGGATGTCTCAGGCACCCTTCCACCCACTAACAACCCCATGTTACAAGCAACACACTAATCCAGCACCCCTATTCCCCCCAGTTTCTGCTTTCCAAGACAAAAAGCATCCCATATGCTGCTCTAAGATGGGCAGGATAGTCACTCTGCTCTAAACCAGATCATACCAACACAGGACCCAAGTGGAGGAGGAGGACAGATGGGGATAACAGCCTGGGGTACAAAGTAATTGACTCACCCGAGACTGTTTTCCTCCCTAAAATCCATTTATTTAAAGCTGGAAGGGACAAATCATGCTTCACCCAGTGCTGGGTTCATTCCTCCTCCCTACTTAGGTTCAGTTTTACTCCCTGTAGCTTAACTCAACTCCACTCATCACTCCCAGGGGACTGGCACGAAGACAGAGCCAAGCGGCTCTTTCCCCATCACCTTCACTGCCACAACAGACCAACTTCAGCACTTAAACATTAAGAACGAACACAGGATCCAGCTGCATTAACCAAACAGCTTCAAAAATCAACAATTCTGGGATATTTTTCCCTTTTAACCTTAATTTCAGCTCCTGACATTGCACAAGCCTCGGGAATCTGCTGCTTGAGAACCTGCACCGGCGTCGGACGCTTCCCTTTTCCCATCAAGTCCATTTGTTTCACAAAGCTGACAACCCCCCCGGAACCTGCAGCTGGATGACTCGAGTCCTTCATGTTTGGCTCCCAAAGAACTACAACAGCACCCATCTCTTTCTTGCCTTGCAACCTGACTCAGTCTCTGGACACAGAACACAGATTTACCTTTAAAAGGATCCGGCTTCTGCTTTGTGCCCTCCTTCTCGGTCAGCTCCTGGCGCCGCTTCTCGATCTTCTTGTTCCTGTTCACGATGTACTCCTGGAAGGAAGAGGAGAAAACTCGGTGTCCTCCACTGAGATGGCCAAGGATCTCCAAAGGGAATTGAGCTGCCCAAGGAACACCCACAGGGAAGCCTGTGGTTGGGGAATGAACTACACGAGGCCAAGGTTTTCCCCTCCCCGTCATGTTATAACAAGAGATGGAAAGATCAAACTGGAGCCAAACAGAAGCCTGCTCCCATGTCACCATCAGATTCCTTGTGGGAGACCCCAAATCCTTGATAAATGCCCCCAAAACGCAACCACTGGTCATCCAGAAAATAAAACTCATCTTCCTCAGCTCTGGGTGGACCAAATGAAGCCCAGAAACCCCAAACGAAGCCTTGATATCCCAGTACGGATGCAGGGAAGGGTTGAGCTACAGCAGCATCCCACCTACCTGCAGGAACTCGACTGTTTTATCCGGGAGCTTGGTACCAATGTACCTCAAGGTCTCCTTGTGGAACTTGCTCTGGAGATGTTTCTGGATCTCCTCTTCCTCAAAGCTGCGGAACTTGCAGACAGAACAGGCAAACTGGATCCTAAGCAGAGAAATCACACCACGGATGAGGAATGAGCTCAACTTTTACAATCAAGATCAAGATCATCACCACCCTTGGTGCAGTTTTATACCTCGTTGCTCCAAGTGCCACCCCCCCAGTTTTACTTCATTTGGGCCTTTGTAATTGGGGTAGAACCTGCACAGATTCAAGAGCAGTTCCTTCTCCTTAAAGCTTTATGTTAGGGGAGTGGATGCTAAAACCCTGCGTGAGTTTAAAAGCAATGGGACAAATTCATGGGCACTCTTGGATGTGGAGATTCTCTCCCTGGCACCCGACAGAGAAACACTGGTGCCACCTTGGCTGGTTCATCTTGTCTTCAGCTCATTAACTGTATGATTTTATAGCAAAGCTACATATACAACCTTGTGTTTTGCTATATACAGCCTTTATAATGCTATAAAATACAGCAATTAATGAGCTAAAGGTAGATCTGTAAGTGCAGAGTGTGTAAGTGCATACACAGCCTCTTAAACACCCTTCTGGACTTCTACACTCATCCATGTATTAAACCCCACAATGTTCTCAGAACACTCACAAAACACACAAAGAGGGTAAAAACCTGCTGAAATCAGAGCGCAGAGCCCCACAATATGATTCCCCGGGATATTCTCCTGTTCACATGGAAAAACGCTGGGAATGGACCCGTTGATCACTGCTCCTACCTGTCCATAGCACGATCGCGCATTCGGTCTCTTCTCCGCTGCTTCTCCCTCTTCTTTTTCATCTCCTCATCATCATCCTCACAGCCATCTCCTGACGCTGAGACATAAATCAGAGTTACTGTGCTCCCCATCACCCACTTGATTGGTTCAGGAATTCTGGGGTTCAATTCCTCTGTTTCCTTTTCACCCTCAGCATCGGGAGGTCACAACAGCTTTCAGTCTCTGGGAGCTCTCCCTCTCCCAAACCAGTTTCCGACCACAGGGAAGCAGCAGCCCCTTCCTGAGGTCTCATGCAGTTACTGTAAACCCCAAACCCTCTCCTCCAGCTCCCTAAAACTCCCACAGCAGCTCAAGTCTCTGCAGGCAGCAACAGGATGTTCCATCAGTGGGAAGAGTCCTGGCTTCCATGATGCTGCAGCCACTCCTCCATCTCCCTTCCCTGGGAGATACCGCTGCTTTCTCCCCAGATTCTCCCTGTTCTCCTCTATTTCCCATGACTGAAAAAGCTCCTCAAGGAAGTTAAGCCCTAAAACCCAGCAGAGATGCCAGTTCTGCTCCCTTGGGATGGGGTTGGAGATATTCCTCATGTCGCCTTCCCAAGAATTCCTTGATCACAAAGTGTTTTGGGTTGGTCCAACCCCCTGCCCCAGGCAGGGACACCTTCCACTAGAGCAGGTTGCTCCAAGCCCCTGTGCCCAAGCTGGCCTTGAACACTGCCAGGGATGGGGCAGCCACAGCTTAACCCTTCAACCCAGTGACTCACCACCCTCACAGGCACCAACTTCTTCCAATATCCCATCTAACTCTTCCCTCTTCCTGCTGGAAGCAGTTCCTCCTCATCCCATCCCTCCATCCCTTGTCCAAAGCCCCTCTCCAGGTTTCTTGTAGCCCTTTAGGCACTGGAGCTGCTCTAAGGTCTCCCCTTCAGGAGCCTTCTCTTCTCCAGGCTGAGCCAGCCCAGATCCCAGCTCTCTCAGCCTGTCTTCTATAGACCTGACTTTCCCTTACTGGGAAAGCAAAAAGGAACCAAAGATCCAGCAGATCTCATCTCCGCAGTGTTTTGGGGCAGAAAGCTCCCAGTCCAAGGCCCTTCAGCCTCAAAGGACTCAGGGAACAATTCATGTGACATGTTTTCAGGTAAAGAAGCCTCTGGGCATCAGAGGGAGCCTTCAATGACACTTAACATCCAGCTACACCTCAGTTCCCATCCTGAAAACAACCTAAAAGCAGCAACTCAAGTCCCACACATGGTTTTCCCCAAGTCACCCAAAGGCAGAAGGTGCAACATGCCTGGGGCTGATGTGTCTTGACTGGAAATGACAATCCCAAACCAGCTGAAGTGGTGGGATTAGTCCAGGGGGCCGAGTGAGGGGGTAAATCCCTACCTTCCTCCGTGAAATCACCCCGATTCCTGTTCTCCTGGAAAAGAGAAACACACAGAGACACTGGTGTTACTTCCTCTATGTCACCACCAAGTATTGCTTCTTACTATCAAGCTTTAAATCTATGGCTGCTCCAAAGCAAGCTGTACCCAAGTTACACACAACACAAATGGCAACAACCCCCCTCCAGCCCCTCTCCAGGTTTCCTGGAGCCCCTTTAGGCACTGGAGCTGCTCTAAGGTCTCCCCTTCAGGAGCCTTCTCTTCTCCAGCTGCCCCAGCCCAGCTCTCTCAGCCTGGCTCCAGAGCAGAGCTGCTCCTGCCCTCAGAGCACATTCCCACATTCACCATGGAGACTGATAGAAAACAAGGCTACTTACACCTTTGTCTGCTTCGTCTCCGGATTTTTCCTCTCCTTCTCCCTCATCTGCTGTGCAAAAGAAGGATTGTTTAAGCTGGTGCTGGGGAGGCTTTTCTCCCAGCTAACAGTCTCCTAATAAATCCCCCCAGCTTTGAAATGGAGCAACTCTCAGCCAGATGAAAGAGAAAACACGTAAAACCAGAGGAAAATGGCCCAAAATGGGCTCGTACCATTGTCAGTGTCATCTCCTTCACTGTCAGTCTTCGCCTGTTTGCTGTCGGGCTCATCCCCACTCTGTGACTGTTTCCTCTTGCGTCCTCCCCCCTCACCATCCGACCGCCCTCCGGAACGGTTCCGGAACCCTCTTCTCTTGGGCTGAAGGGGGAAGAAATCTCTTGGATCAATCAACTTGAAGCGTTAAGAGAAGCTTCAAAATCAAAGTATTCCACCCAATTGCTACGTCTCTTAAGGAAGTTTTAATTCTTGTGACCCTGCAGAAGTGGTTTTGGTTATAAAAAGATTTTATAGCTGGGTTAGTGCCCCTTGTGAGCGGATTTGGGATGGGGGAAGCAGTCAGAGGCTCTACTCTGATTGCAAATGGGTCTATACAAGCTCAGCGATACCCATCTCTATCCAGGAAAATGTGAGTTGTTCCATAGTGGAATAACTCACGGAAGCACCACGAATTAAGGCTCATGCTTCCCAAAGGACTCCACTCTCCAGCCAACACACCGAGGGAAGCAAAACTCAACCCTGACAAGAAACCAAACCCGACGGTGACGACTTACCATGAGCGTGTTCATGTGCCAGGGCACCGACCCCATCCTGTCTCTGTTCCGTTGCCTCCCCATTCCATACGGCATATTCCCATACCGTCCCATTCCCATGCCCGACATCCCCATCATGCCATAGTCATAGTCTCCGTAGTCACCGTAATCTCCGTAGTCGCCATAGTCACCGTAATCCCCATAGTCGCCGTAATCTCCGTAGTCGCCGTAGTCACCATAATCGGGAACGAGGGCTTGGGAAAAGAGGGAAGGGAGCCTGTTGGATCCGGCCCCCCCCATCCCACGTCCTCCCATGTAGTTCAGCTCATTCCAACGGGCCGAGAGGCGCTCGGAGCTGGACGAGGGCATGAAGTGGTCGCTGCGGTTGAAGGCGTTGAGTCGCCCGCGGTTCTGGACACGGTTCTGAGCCCGGCCCCGCATGAGCCCGTAGTTGTTCCCTCTGTTGCGTGACTGATCCCTGCGGTTGTCAAACTGGCTCCCGAAGGAATCGTTCCGGTCGGTCCCGATGTCGCCGTAGTCGTAGCTGGGTCGATACATGTCGCGGTCGTTCATGGAGGACCTCGAGTCGTAGGAGTCAAAGGACTCGAATCTGAAAGAGCTGTGGGAGGAGATGATGGTCAGCACCAGGGGTGACATTCCCACACCTCACATGGGGGTTTGCATCCAGTTTTAATCCCAATCCGTGTAGTTCTGGCCAGAAAACCACAATAGAAGTACTATTAATCCCTGCAAACCCATCACTTTCTGTATCCCACGTCACCTTTTCCTTATTCTTGGTGGAAATAAGCAAGTATCAAACTTACGTGCAGGATACCCTGAACGGGGTGGGAACGCTTCCAGGGCCGGTGACTCCAACCCTGCCCTGGGCAGCCTGTTCCAACGCCTGAGCACCCTCTGGAGAAGGAATTGTTCCCAGTATCCATCTAAACCTGCCCTGAGACCGTTTCCTCTTGTCCCATCCCTTGGCTCCTATTTTCACTATTAAGCATAAGCAAGTGGCAGAATCACCTCTCCTGGTCTTCCATCCCGTCCCCGGTCCCGCCGCTGCCCTCCTTCGACAGCATATCCAGGCGCTGGTTGATCTTGGCGATGATGGAATCCGAGTTCTCGTTGGCTGAGTGCTCGGTGCCGTAGGAGGTGATGGGCATGGAAGAGCTGACATCAGCATTGAGGCTCATATCCGAAGCTTTGTGGGCTTCCCAGCTGCTGGAGCTGGCGGGAGCATAGTTGTACGTGGCTGCGGTGTTAGCGGCGGTGGTTTGGGTGTTGTAGTAGTCGTAGCCCTCATAGCCTGGCAGGAAAGGGGAAGAACATGGATGTTACATTCCATATGATAGACACAGGTACCTGGAGGAAGGGTTTGGATGTGAGCAGATCCCACCAGGCACGGCTGTAGCTGGATTTGACCTCTTTGCAAAGAAATGCAGGTTCTAAAATGGGGGAACAGCCAAGATTCTTCTTTCCCAAGCCTAAAATGTGTGTGCAGCGCTGGGGTCCTCAACATCAGGACGACATGGAGCTGCTGGAGCAAGGCCAGAGGAGGCCACGAGGATGAGCAGGGGCTGCAGCAGCTCCCATTGGAGACGTTGGGGCTGGAGAAGAGAAGCTGCGTGGAGAGCTCAGAGCAGCTTCCAGGGGCTGCCGGGATGGGGAGGGGGGGCTTCAGCA